TTTGAACTACTACACTCAACCATCCAAGTCTCCTCTCGTACTGCGTAGTCTGATTTTGTCCAAGGTACCACCGCACTGAGACCGAACCACACACCTACTTTTTGCTTCATCGCTGTATTAGTAGTCCGCACTGTCTTAACGGATGTCGTGTCACGCTAATCTGGCCGACTTATGGTGCGGTTAGCTTACGGCGATGCGAAAGGCAGGAGATCATTTCTTATGGAAAAGATTCATTTCTGCTACTCATATCAGGATTTTCAATAGAAATCCAGGCTCCTTCTAACTATTTATACATTTAGGCTTTAAACTTATGTCTGCCCAACGGCTGTTCCCTCGTCGTTATAAGGCATATGCTTTTTAACTCTCAATTTAAGGCTCTACCCGTCTCTCTACTTAAGGAGTGTGACAACTCAAACGTTTTAGCTGGTATATAATCTCTTGTACGGGCAAGGAATGAAACATTCTGATATACATTCTATCATATCCTATTCCTTATCAACTGCTGGTTGTCTGCTAGAATGAGCAAGCATAACATGATCTTGTACTTGGGCTTGAACTATGCATTGTTTGATTGCCGCACTAAGTCGGTCCGAGATGCAGACAATGTAAACGGGAATTTATTTTTGCGTGAAGCATGGTCAGTTCAAAAGCTGAGGGGGTGATCTATAACTTGGTTTGCGCATGTGTAAACGTTGCTCCTTGCCATGTCACAACAGCGCATATAATAACCGTCAGATTGTACATTGCTTGCCTTTACGGGAAAATAGATGATTGTGCAAAGGCAAGTGTTGTGAGTTGTCACACTTTTCACATAAAAGTGTGACAACACAAACTAGCTGTCAACTCTTTCATTAGCCGCTTCTTACATAAGGAACAGGCAGAGCCCTAGGTTTGAATTAAAGAGCATTTGGCTAATGAAAGACGAGGGAGCTTAGGATCGCCGTTGGGTAGACATAAATTTGAAGCGAATGAGGGTAACAACTTTGAAGTTGAATGTTAATCCTTTTCTAGACTGAAATTTTGGTAAGGAAAGTGTAAGGAGCGGCTTGGATTTTCATCAAAAATCCTGATATGAATGGCAGGAATAGATACTTATCCGTAGCCTCCCCTCCCTCCTCTAGATCTTTTGCCTTTCATATCGCCTTGTGACTAACTGCACTCTATATGGCCAGGCTAAATGAATTACACTCAGCGACAGTTGCGACAGTGAGAACTACTGACACAGCGATGGAATAAAGTGGGTTGTCTTAGTGCATTGTACTCTGGACGAAGTTTGATGTGAGGGGAGATCTTTTATGGTATAAGATAGTAGATCAAAAGTATGATAAGTTTCAAGCCTTTGGAATCGGGAAAAAATTATAAACAATTGACACATTGATATGCTAGGCTCAAAAATGAAAGAACATGGAAACAATAATAATAATAAATGATTTGAAAAATGATTGAATTAAAGAAGAAGGTGAATTATCTAACGAAATTTACAGGAAATATTGGAGCAACGATTGCGGCTGCGTTAGGTGTAGTTTATGGCCTACTGGTTACCCTCACATATTTCAGTAACGGTTCGTGCCACATTTAATCTGGTCAGAGATGACGGTTTTTATCATTCTATCTTCTAGGCGATGAAACGACGCCGGCTCTTCCGATATCTATAGTGCTTGGAACTGTTTTCCACTACGGCTATCTGCTACTCGAGCCATACATCATGCATTTTATGGACGTCTTCTTTGAATTTTTATTTGACGAACTTCCTTAGAGGGTATTGGACCCAGTGCTTGATGCTTCTCCCGTTGCTGTGAACTTATATGCGTTCCTTATGTCACTGCTACGTTTGTTTTGTAATTCACTTTGTCGTCAGTGATTTTCGTTTTCTTATTCGTAAAGAATTTGGCTTTATGTAAACTTTTGTTCCTCTTACAGGCCCAAACTGCAATCTACATTAGCACAGTGCAAATTGTACGCGTCGGCGTATCGTTTGAGGTTCTCTTTGTCAACAATTGGACCTACCTAAACATTCGGTGTTTCAACAAAAATATGCTCACTGTTTGGTCGTTAATAACTTTATTTTCTCCTACAAAACCTAATGCTACTGTAGGAAGCGAAAGACGGAATAGACTTAAATTGCGTTCAAATGGATCTTGTATTCTTTTAATGACGATAGATTGCGTACAATGTTGCAACATTCTTTAACATTGGTGTGAAGTAATATTAGCACTGGCCTAGATAAAAGTTCTAAAAATGACGAAAACTTGCCTGATGGGGTAACCTAATAGCGCCCAGATACTATAA